ATGCATATTGGCAGCCAAATAGCTCTGTCTTCCCATCCTGTATCCTTTTCCCAAGTTGGAGGTCTCTTCTGGTATATGTCCCCCTTCCTCCTTCCGTGGTAGCTGATTAAATTCGTGGTTTGTACCACACAGTTTCTTTAGTAAGTGGTTTTTCCGCTGCACCCTCTCTTATTTGTTGCAATATGAGTAGGCTGAGGATTTTCCAACTCTTTAAATTCTGGTTCCTTTTCTCTTAATTTCCCCCGCCACGTATTTTATAATAGGCACTAAGGAGAAACAAGGAGCACCTTAGCAGTCTGCTGAGAAATCCCTGCCACTGAGCATCTGGCCACACCACTGTGCAGGTTCTACCCTCCACAAAACACCAGGACAGGGTGTGCTCTTTGCTATTTTATGAACAAGGGTCCCCTCTCCTCTGGTTTCCAATTACAACTCCCGATTCCCAATAAGTCCTCAGAAGAGCAACTTAACGTATACATTTCTACTCAAATTCTGCTCAAAATGACACATGTTCTCTGAGACAGGAGCCCACCCTACAACATCTCTTTTCTTTCTGAACCTTCTAGGATCACATTTAACAACCATATTGCCAGGGATAGACCCCACAGTCAGTTGGTTTTTCCAAGCATACACCTAAGAGCTTCTGTAGCCACCAGCACTCAGAGGTAGAACACAAAATCAGGAATGATCCAAAGCTACTAGTACATGTCTTCATGTTTGTCCTGACAGCATCCCACTTCTCAGTACTTGGTCTGCTAAGGCTGCTTATAGCAAAATACAACTGGCTAGGTAGCTTGGACCACAGGGAAATTTATCTTTTCATGGTTGTGGATGCTGAAGGTCATGGTCAAGATGTTGGCCAATTCAGGTTGTGTGAGGACCCTTTTTTGGTTTGTAAATATACATCTTGTTGCCATGTTCTCACAAGGCCAACTTGGGTGTGTGTTCACAGAAGCTTCCTGTATTTCCCACTTATAAGGGAAATAATTCTGAAAAGATCAGATTTACACCTTTGGGACCTTCTTTAGCTTTTATTACTTTTTTAGAGGCCCCATCTCCAAAAGCCACCACACCCAGATTAGGGTTTCAATATATGAATTTTGGGAGGACACACATATTTAATGTATAACAAGGGCCATAAGGAAAAGGATAATCCTTCAATGAGAGCAGAAAAATTGTATAGTTTAGCTTACTAATTGTATATATTAGTCTTGGGTTTCCCAAATCACTAATAGTCTCAAGGAGCACGTGATTTTTACATGCATTATGAATGTGATATTCCCAAATTCTGGGTCTGAGGTAATACCTGGTGATATCATGGTGCTTCTGTACTTGTCCAACTGGATCCAATATGAAACAGAATGTGCCATATACCCCAGGTAAGCATGAGAGCCAGGACCGACTTGGGCAAGGGCTCAAGGACAATCAGAAGTGTGTGGGCAGGTATCTGAACCTTGAATATAGGCTCCAGGATAGCCAGAAGCATGTGGGCAAGTGTGGCAGGTTGAGCATAGAACAAAAGGACAAAGGGGCCCAGACCCCAGCCAGAGTGAGTAAGGTCCACTGGGAGGAAGCAGCAGGGACAACAGCAGTAGCAGCTGCACCACCATAAAAAATCTGTAGGTTTTCATGAGAGCTTAATCTGGACCTCTGGCTCTTTTCCTTATTTGTTGTGTTTTTAGGACAGTCCCTTCTCCCTGGCATGGCTCTCCATAAGAATGCACATTTGCTTGCCTGATGAATGTTTCCATCCCAGTGAGTCATCGGGTAGATAGATGTTGTCTACAGGCCAGGCCTGGACAGGATCTTCAGCATCACTGCCCAAACACTTCAGTCCTGGATGGCCCTTCTGGGCCTTGTCCTGGTGACAGCAAAGAGTCCCCAGGGACATATGGGACAAGCAAACCCATGATACTTCTGGACTACAATAATGGAAGCCCTGGCTCCATTAAAGCAGGATATAACTGTCTCTTCTAGTCACTCCCCAACTCTTTCTCTTCACTTGAAATTTCCCCTTTTGTGGATAGCAAAACTCACAAAAGTGGAAAATCCCAGCCCTGACTATTACTCACAGAAGATGGTAGAAGTGGAGGGCTGTGTAACTGAAAAATGTGGCCTTGCTCCCACAGAGATCAGATAAATAAAATTGATATATCCTACTGCTTTTTAACAACACATGAAAGGCAACATTAAACATTCCAAGCAGCTTCTCGGGCCACTGTCACCCTCTGAGGTTGCAGCTTCTAGTTCACGCCCTTCTCAAAGGTAACATTTTATGGCAGTTTTAATGAAATTAGCTCATCCATTTGAGTCAACAAGCATAAACCAACATCCAATTTTTTGTGGCTTCACTTTTTTCTAACCACATGGTGGAAATGAGTTCAGGAAAGTTTTTAGAATTTCTTTTCTAACGTACGGCTTTCAGGGATTAAAAAAAATCAGAATCCTTGGTGGAAACGTGTACTATTGAAATCAAAAAGGGTATTAGTTTACCCCAAAGCCACAGCACTCTCAAGAAGTCTGTGGATTGTGAGGATTCACTTCATCTCTACACAGTGGGATCCTCAGGATACAGTGATGCAGGCAGACAATAACTAAGAGAATATGGACTGTGGAGTTTTGTTTGTGAGGTTTCAGAGGGGTGCAAAGATTATGGAGAACTGGATTAGTGCACATTCTGTGATATTTTGGCTAAGAATCTGTGTGTGCTGATCAGCTGGGGATGAAGAATCAGCTGTGATTAGTGACAGATAAGCATCACTGAAGTGAAACCTTTTGTGCCTCATTGGGACAACGGGTACTGGCCAAGCTGGGGATGAAAAATCAGCTGTGATTTATAAGAAATCAGCACCGTGAAGTGAAATCTTCTGTTCTTCATTGGAGCAGTAGGAAAATATTTCCTCAAAGTCAGCAAATGGAAGTTTGTCCAAAAGGACCAGAGTACATCTCAGCTTAGAAGCCAAACTTGGCAATGCGTAAGCATCGACTGTGTGGTACTGATTTTGAAGGCATGAGAGATGCAAGATTGAGGTCATGTAGAGAAGCTGAGGTTTGGCACTGTGTGGCACATTTGGAGTCCCTAAAAAGAGGCTATTGGTGAAGGTGAAACCTCAGCTTTAGTGGAGACTCAGGGAGATGCCAGGACTATGGGATGTTTGCCAAGTATAGCTGCAGGTGTGGAGCGGAGTCAGCCGCAGGAGGAAGCTGTGCTTACTGCAAATGGCAGATCTGGAGAGGTGGGACTGTCCGAGTCTTTTGAAGCAGGGGGCTATACAATGAGTGCATCCTGGGATGCTGGACACTGGCCTACAGGATTTCAATTTACATTATTGGATTTTTATTTTTCTTGGATCTCATTGTCCTATGTTCTGATTCTTCCCTTTTGCAATGAGACTTTCCATTCTGTGCTACTGTATGTTGGAAGTATGGAAGTATATAACTTTTTTTATTTTACAGATGCTTGCTTTTAACAAGACTTTGGACTTTTAAAGAAACAGTAGACTTGGAGGGAAATACAGGCTCTCCCTGTAGCCCCTGGTACCTGCTATGCAGACCAGTCTGTCCTTGTTCTCACAGAGATCTGTCAGCCTCTGCCTCCCCAGTGCTGGGATTAAAGGCATTCACCATCATGCCTGGCAAGACATTACACTTTTTTTGACAGGGTCTTCCTAGTCCCAGCCTGCCTGGAACTCACTATATAGACCAGGCTGACCTTGATCTCACAGAGATCTGCCTGCCTCTGCCTCCTGAGTGCTGCAATTAAAAGTATGTGCCACTACATTTGACAACATTAAACTTTTTAAAGTATTGGAATTTTTAAAGACTACGGGACTTTTTAAAGGTGGGCTGTGTTTTATATTATATTAACATGAGCTCTTGGGGACAAGGAATAAAAGGTTATGGTTTTAAAATGATATGTTTAGATGACAAGTTGACAGGAGTTGAAATGTCCTGATTAACTTTAACTGTCAATTTGAAGGCCTACAGTCATCTGGGAGGAAAATCTCAGCTGAGGAAATTGCCTAGATTATGTTGGCCTGTGGGCATGTCTGTAGGACACTATCTTGATTGATGATTAATATAAGAGGACCCAGCCCACTGTGGGCAGCACCATCCCTAGGCAGGTGGGCTTGGGCTATATAATAAAGATAGTTGAGCATGAGCCTGAGAGTAAGCTAGCAAGCAGTGCTCAGGAACCATGGAGGGTGCTGTATGAGAAAGCTAGCTGATTATTCCTCAGTTAATGGTGCTATTTGAGGAAGTAGTGAAACCTTTAGGAAGTGGGGCCTAGCTGGTAGAAGTAAATCACAAGCCTTTGATGTTTACAGCCAGGTCCCCAATTCCTGTCCACTTTATGCTTCCTGGTCCACTGTGATGTAAACTGTGCTGTTCTGCCCTGATCTCTCTGCTTTTATAGATCAAAACTCTCTGAAACCATGAACCAAAATAAATCTTTTCTCCACTGGCAAGGAGGGGAAGACTGGCTGTGTATAAGCCAATCTGACAGACAGCCAGCAAGAAGCATACTCCATGGCTCCACAGAGTATGACTTAGAATCGTAAGCTGTGTTATCATAGCAAAAGATATGAAACTAAAACATTCCTCACCTCTGTCCCAAGGTCAGGTGTGTATGGCTGATTCAGTACAAGGTAGGATAACAAAACACATTTTCAGCTCTGGAAAGAAGTTTTCCATCCAGGGCAGCCCTGGTTTGGTCTTTGTAGTCCAGACATGAAGGCTGACCTCAAAGGCAACATGAGTGGGAAGGGTGATTGCATACTTCTGATCTCAACTGGGCCCGGGTCAGACCCCTCTAGACTCCAGTGGATCCAGGTTAGGCCCAACAGAACACAGATAAAATCCAGCTAGACCAGGGGAACCCAGAGCAGAACCTAGCAAGGCATAGGTGAAACCTAACTGGTCTCTGGTAGACACAGCAGGTCTAAAGTGAAAACCAGCTGGGCTCAGGTAGACACAGTGGGCACAGATAATAATCCTACCTTGAAAGAAGCTCTTCACTCTGAGGTAACTAACGCTGAGACGCAGAACGGAAAGCTTGTCCAGCTTGGAGATGATGTCAGGTGGGAATGGCAGCAGGCTGGCCAGGTGGTCCAGTTCTGTGTTGAGACGGTCCCTGTGCCTCTTGGAAGGGTTTGATTTCTCAGCTCCCATGATAGGCCTCCTGCAAGAAGAAGGACTCAGTCATATGGGTCTCCACCAGGAGCCACTGGCCTCCCAGGCTAAAACCTACTCTCTGTGGTGACCTTACTAGGAAAATTGCAGTTGCTGCCCAGACAGAAAAGTGCTGATAAGAACTAAAGTTCACTCTTTCTTGAAGATACACAACTTCAAGATGTGAAGAACTAGGGCTCAAAAGATGGCTCAGTGGTTGAGAGCACTGGCTGCTCATGCAGAGGACTCAGGTTCAATTCCCAGCACACACGGCAACTAACAACCACCTGCAACTCCAGTTCCAAGGGTTCCCACATTTTCTTCTGATCTCTGTGGGCATTGTATGACATGGGCGCACTTACAAACATACTAGCAATACACTCATAAACATAAAAAATAAAAATAATTTTAAAAGATATGAAGAACTGGGGCTGGAGAGATGGTTCAGTGGTTAAGAACACTGGCTGTTCTTGCAGAGGACCTGGGTTTGGTTCCCAGCACCAACATGGCACCTAACAACCATCCATAACTCCATTTCTAAGGGACCCAATGCTCTCTTCTGGCCTCTGTGGGCATTATATGACACAGGTACACTTATACACATGCACACAAAACACAAATACACATAAAATAAAAATATTTAAATAAAAAATTTAAAGATCTGAAGTCCTGAAAAAGCACATCAATAAACTATAACTTGGTATTTGAAGAAAACACACAGAGAAAGAAAGAACTATGTGAGCACAGTCTCAGGCAAGGATGAAGGGCATGGCCACTGGCTGTTGATTCTGGTAAATTTCTCAAACCCTCTGTGCCTGCTTCCTTGAGGTGGGAGGATGACTGTCTGCCCATGACTGTCTGAACAAGAGAGTGCATGGAAAAATGTGTTTTCATTCAACTCCTTTCAGAGTCTTCTTGACACCTAACTAAAACCTAGGAAAAATATAAGTTGCCATGCCAGTATGTGACAGGCTCCTGATCCTAAGTACCCAACCTGGGCGTTCCAAAGAGTTCTTGGGCTTTATAGTTTACAGGATGATGAATTCAAGTTTGAGTCAGGCCTGTGAGTATAAAAGCCTAGAAGATGATTCTAGGACCTGCCAGGCATAAGGACTTGAAGCCTCCAAAGCCCCAGCACCCCAAGGGGCAGAGAGGGCCCTTGGCCATCACTCCACATGACTCAGGAGACCTGCTCACCTGTAGACAGTTTCACCTGACCTCAACTACCTACCTGGAGAGGGAACCCCCAGCATCTTTATTTGACTCTTAGGCCACAGTGCTGTCCCTCTTCTGACCCTCTTTAATTGCTGCACAGAATCAACCTTCCTGATTCCTATTCTCAGTATCACACACACTTAAACGTCATAGCAGCAGCCAGCGTGGACGACTTGCAATGAACAGGAGAGCAAAAGGCCTGTTTTTAGAAGAACTGCTGAGCACCTGGCTCAGCAGGCCAATGCTTTCTAGGGGTTAGGAAATTTCATGGTTAGGCGTCCCCTCGGTTTTTGAGGAGTTGGGTACCTTGTGGCCAGAATTCCCCACTTTTCTGATAGTGTTTGGCAGCACCAAACCCAAGAGCTATTCCTTTTTAAAAGTGAGATGAATCTCATATAACATAAAGCCATCCATTTGAAAGTGAGCAGCTTCCTCCTGGCATGGTGGTGCATGTCTTTAATCCCAGCATTTGGGAGGCAGAGGCAGGCGGATCTCCATGAGTTTGAGGGCAGCTGGTCTACATGGTGAGTTCCAGGCCAGCTGGGGCTACAGGGAGACCCTGTCTTAAAAAGACGGGAAAAAAGAAAGCAAGCAGCTCCCTTCAGTTAGTAGTCATAATACTGTGAGATGTGACAGCTCTACCTGGTCTAGAGATTTTTATAATCTAGAGGAACATCACTTACTAATGAGCATTCTTTCCTATACTCCTTCCTTTGGTGTTGGCAACCACCTGTCTGTTTTCTCCCCATGTGGACTGACCTGTTATGGGCATTTCACACAAATGTACTGAAACATGAGTGACAGTTCATCTACATTGTAGTGAGTGTGGGTATGCTTCTTCACCTTTTTTATAGCTCGATAATATTCTAATGTATAGATGGAACACGTTGTTGATCTTTCACCAGGTGGTAAATCTGGTGGTTTTCCATTTCTGATCATTGTGACTATAGCTTCTCTGAGCATTCACTCAAAAGACTTTGCTTGAATACATGTCTTGAATGTGGACACCCAGGAATGGAATAGCTGGTTCTGTGGTAATTCTATGCTTAATTTTTTGAGGAACCATCAAGTTGCTTTGCACATAGCTGCATTATTTCACACACCCACCAGCAATATACAGGGCTCCAATTTTACACATGCGTTTCTCCACTATTCAGTACCGTTTTTATTATAGTCATATTAATGGGTATAAGGTAGTATTTCCTTGTGGCTCTGATCTGCACTCCTGATGACTTATGAGGCTGTGTGTCTTCTCCTGAGCTTGTCCATTTTTATATCTTCTTTGAGAAATGGTTATCTAGTCTTTTAATTGGGCTGTTTTTGAGTTGTAAGAGTTCTTTACATGTATATTAGACCCTAATCAGATACATGATTGCAAATATGTTCTCCACTCTGCATTGTCCTTGGTTATATGTCTACTTTTGATACTTTTTCAAAAAATTGTCAGCCAAAACTGAAATAACCTGGTAAAGAAGACCTGGCATTACCTGGCCAGAGACCCGCCATGTCAGTGACAGATACTGAGGATGCCCCACAAAACAAAGGGAACATCTGATGGGCAGCTGGGGTGGGCAGTGAAAGAGGGGAAGAGAACCAGAGAAATACTGGGTAGTGAGGGAAGCAGCAAAAGAAGGTGGGCTAGGTGCTTGGAAGGAGTCAAAGTGACGTCTCCACTGGATGATAGAGATCAGAACTGTTCTTTTTACTGTAGCTCTGGGTCTATCCAAGGACCTAACTGCCCTCATGCATGGGCTCTCCCTTTCCTACCCCTCAACTCTAGTTGTTTCAATGTCCTGGGCAGTCCTCAGCTTAGCAGAGGCTCCTTAGGTCACAAGCCCAGCTTGCTTCTCACCTCTGCCCAAAGCTAGGGGAGAGGTGGCCTTGCTTTTTCACACAGGGTGGTGTCTACAACCAGCTCTGCCCCTGCCCCTCAGATCTTTCTACACAGAGCACATGAGAGGTGTTGCCTGTAGTGAGCTGGGCCCTTTCACCCCAGACTTTTCTATCAGGATAGAACATTGCCCAGTGAAGGAGTGGTTGTGCTGTGAGCGTAGTACATTTGGCTTTCCTCTTCTGGCTCTCAGGTTGCCTGGACACCCCCCACTGCTATACCCTTCACTCCATTTCCCAATCCCAGTTCCATAAAGTAGGTGGGACCCATCCAGGTGGATGAATGACCAGGGGCTGAGGGGTCATTTGGAGAAGAAATAGTCCTCTGTCCATTCTGGGCTAGTGGTAGACAAATTTGGAGGCCAAGGTAAAATTCCCACTGACTCCGGAGAGAGAAGTAGTAAGAGGTGAGGAGCAGGGGCTTCACCCAGCCTGAACAACACAAAAATGGCTTTGAGGAGCAGTGAGTTGGGCACCTGGACAAAGCCACAAAGGAGCCCTGGACACCAACAATACAGAACAGCTATGGATTAACCTAACGAGAGACATCCAGGACACAAGGACAAAACTACAAAATGTTGCTGATATATTTAAATCATCTAAGTAAATGGAAAAACACACCATGTTCCTGAGTTGTAAGATACAATATTGTCCCCAGTAAAGAAAAGCAGGTATGGGCTGGTGAGATGGTTCAGCGGGTAAAGGTGCTTGCTGCCAAGCTTGATGGCCTGAGTTCAGTCCCTGGGACCCACATAGTATAAGGACAGTTCTGACTCCCGCAAGTTATCCTCTGACCTCTACATGCATAGCATGGCACAAGCACCTGTGTGCACCTTCACATACACACAGTAAATAAATGTAATAAAAAAAATTTTTTTGGCCTTTTTGAGACAGGGTCTCCCTATAGCCCCAGCTGTCCTGGAACTTACTATGTAGACCAGGCTGGCCTTGAACTCACAGAGATCCACCTGCCTCTGCCTCCCAAGTGCTTGGATTAAAGGCGTGCACCACCATGCCCAGTGTAATAAAATATTTTTAATGAAAGAAAAGAAAAAGCAGATGAAAAGAACTCGATGAGTGCCACAACTTCACATTGTCATGAGATGAAGACACTGGCCCTGTTAAAGACTTGGGGGCCCTAGAGGATGAGATATGGAGCACCAAACGTGCTGCTGGTGACACCATTCGCTATGGGATTCCGAAACACCCATAGCCCCCTGGGTTGTGGAGAAGAGGGTTTTGATAGCTTCACTGACACTCTCACAAAGCACTTGCTACTCATGGCATGGCAAATGGTATCAATGCCAGCCTGCCTGTGTCATTTACCCACATCCTCAAGTCCCCTGGGGATGGGTGAAAGGGTATTGTTTGATGCCATGTATGCTGTAGATATGTGTTGCAGTTGGAGAACATGGATCTTAGTGGACAGCCAAGGACTGAGCTAATTCTCCTGGCTAAGTGAGTATACATCACACTCCCAGACTGTATAGCAGGAAGAGAGCAGAATATACCAGAGACTTTGAGATGTACAAATGTGTATACAACATGAGCATATACGGAAAGGTGGAAGCACATACATACTGCATCCACATCCCAGGAAAGGTTCATAGACAGTGTTAAAATCAGATGCTTCCTGACAGGGGACCAGACTGTGGAGACATCCCCTGAGGTGTGAGCCAAGCAAACAGTCTATCTTTTCGGAGAATCTGTAAATAAAATGTTAGCCGATGTAATGGTGTACACCTTTAATTTCAGCACTCAGGAAGCAGAGGCAGGTGGATCTCAGTGAGTCGGAGTCTAGCCTGATCTACACAGTGAGTTCCAGGCCAACCAAAGCTACATAGTGAGACCCTGTCCAAAATAATAAAATAAAACAAAATGTAAGAGCTCAACATCTCAAACATGGCCTCACCTTTACATTAGAGTAAAACCATTAGTAAGGCAAAAATGAATAAACAATAAAAAATAAATAAATAAGTAAATAAATAGTAAATCAGCTCTGGTTCCTTCTATAGATCAATGTACTTGAGCTGAGTGCCAATGTTATTTTCTGTCCTTATTTGTGTGACAAATGTTACATAAACCAATCTAAATCTCTGCACACAGGAGCTGTGTTCCTGAGGGGTAGGGTCCGAGCCCTGGGTTCTCCCATCTCTATAATCCAGAGATCCTTAGGCGGGGATGATAAGCCCCAAGGATCTTCCTCATCATGTGAAGCGTGAGGAGTAAAACAACCCTGTAGTACCCTCCCCTGACAGGGTGGCTCATTGCTGACGGGAAGGAAGTTTCCAACATTCTGGTGACTTATCCTTTACCCAAATGAGGCCCCACCAACCTCAGCCTGTGCTTCCTGACAGGTCAGGAAAGTTTCCCAGGAAAGTCAGTGGCAGGCCACACTTGTATGAGACTCAAAGGCTACTATAACCTTGCCCACCAGGAAGGCTCTCTAAAGCCTCTCCTGTACCCAAGAAATTCTTTCTTCTCAGTGAAGGCATAGAACACCTCTCTTATTCCCCAGAGATATTAGGATGAAGGGTATATGATACTCTACCGCTTCTGAATGGGTTTCCTTCTCTTCCTGCCGGCATATGTGCACTCTCCGGGTGGAATCATCATTTTTGACCCTAAAAGAGAAAGAGGGCATCAAGTCAGTCACATGAAGTGACAACCATGTGGCATCCACACATGTTCCTACTCTAGTAGGCAAAAAGGTTAGCCAAAGCCCACTGGCCCTCACACAGACCAGCCCTGAAGGTGAGAGGTTTTACTATTAGAACACAATGTGGAACAAGATAGGGGCCTGTAAGAACTTCTCACATTTCCACTCCGAGTGGAACAATCACACGTGTGCTGGGAGCAGAGCACGTGCAGCCGAGGCTCAGGGAGTGTCTCCTTTCAGAGGGACATCACCTGTCTAGCTGAGCAGGCCCTCCTGTCCCCACAGACCCTCTTGTTCCTACAGGCTCTCCTGATCCCACAGGCCCAGTTTACCTTGTATTTTGGCTAACAAGCCCCCACTCTTCTGTGTATTATCTCTTCTCAGCTCTAAGTGCTGGACTTCCACTATGGGCACTCATGCTCAGTTACCTGAAGCCCAGCTGATGGTGCCTTGTGGTGTCAGACATAGGTACATGCCTACCACAGAGGTTCCTGAAGCAGCCTAGGACCTACACTTCAAGGCTGGCAACTGCCCATCCTCTCCTCAGGGATAAACAGCCTCATTGTGTCATAGAATCTTGATATTTCCAGCAGTGAGGACATCTAAGGCTTCACAAACTTCCGTAGACCCTTGTCTCAATGCCCACCCACCCAGGTTGTGGACCAGCAGCCTGCAAATGTAAACGTGTAACCCTGCCTTGACCTCACATGGGCATCATCTGAAAGAGGTAAGCCCACACTCATTTCTACCCTTGGAAGTGGCTGTGAGACTGTCAGAATAATGTGATTGACTGACTGCAGGGATATAGACTGATAAGCAGAGAAAACTCATAAAACAGATCTGCAAAAACTAACTGTATAACAGTGAGTAGCATGCAAAGGTTCAGAGAAAAAAGTGTTCCAGGGACAAAGAAGGTGTTACCTGATAACAAGGTGGTCAGTTTTCTAAGAAGATATTGTAATCCTAAATGTGCATATACCTGACAATTAACACAGCTGAGAGCACGACTCAGCAGAGGCTTTAACATTCTTTGCTCAGTGATCAATAGAACAAATAAACAGGACATTAACACAAACACAAGCTGTATAAACAACAGCAGACTGCAGCTCAGGGTACCACAGAACACACCCTCTAAATCCAGCACAGCACACATTCTGTGTGCATGGAACATCTACCAAGATCGACAATATTCTAGGACTTACACATAATCCCTAACAAATCTAAAACAACAGAAACCATATGAAGCATATTCTCTGACATAATGGAATTAAACTAGAAAGATATCTGGAAAACTCAAAATTATTTGGAATGTCTAAATTTAGAAGAAGTTTTAAAAATATTTAGAACTGAATGAAAATGAAAATACAAACATATCAAATTTGGTGAGACACAGCAGTAAATGCCCATTAGAAAAAGATAAAAAGTATCAAATAATCTAAGCTTCTAGCTGAAGTACCTTGAACAGAAAATAAACCTAAATCAAGCAGAAGGATAAAAATAACAGTTATACAATTTAAACATAAAAATGAAGAAAAATCAATAAAATCAAGTTAGTTCTTTAAAAGATCAGTGAAATTGGCCAGCCTCTCTCCAGAATGATCAAGAATTAGAAAAGGCATATATCACCAAAATCAGAAATGAGAGAGGATATTACCAAAGATCCCATGGACATTAGGAAGAATATAGAGAATATTGTTATGAACTGTGCTCCCCATCCCAGATTCATATGTTGAAGCTGCAACTCTCCACATTGACATGGGTCCTGAAGGTAGGTGACTAAGGAAATGAGGTCATTTGGTGGCTCCTGTAGCCCTTAGGAAAGGAGTAAAAGGAACTGGGGTTCTTCCTCCTACCACTTGATTAGGACCCAGGGACAACAAGGCCATCTACCACAAAGGAAGACACACTCACCAGAAACTGAGTTGGACAGCACCTTGGTTTTCAACGTCTAACTTCCAGAACTGTGAGAAGTGAACGTCTACCATTTCAGCTGCCCAGGCTGTGATATTTTGCTCTGGCAGCCCAACCACACTAAGACAAATAATTTCCAAATTGATAAATTCCTTCAAGAGTATAAACTAGCAAAACTCACTCAAGAAAATGCAAGTAACTTAATTAGTCCTATATTCCAAAAAAGAAAATCACAGGGGCCCAAATGACTTCCCTGATATAGTCTACCAATTCAAAGACATAAAATAAACTCCATTGCCTCCAGGAGAAAAACCAAACAAAATTCACGCACAAGTTCAATATTGCTCTGCTATCAAAGCAAAGACATTAAAAGATAAGAAAATTATAGATCAACACCCTTCATGAACATTGACACAGAAATTCACAATTAAATATTAGCACACAGAATCTAACAATACAAAAACACATCAGAAATAAAATTTATCCAAAGAATTAAGGATTTTTTCAGCACCTGAGAATCAATTGCTGCAATTCATTATATTGATAATAATAAACTAATGAATAAAGTATTTATGATCATCTTCAATAATTCTTTGACAAAATCCAAATCCATTTATGAACATTAAAAACTATGGATAGAAGGGACTTTATTGAATTTGATGAAGAACATTCGCAAAAATCCTACAGCTAACATCTTACCTAATAGTGAAAGGCTGACGATTCCCCCAGATCAGGAATAAAGCAAACAGCTGCGTATCTCTACTCCTATCACACATCTCATCTGTAGATTAGACAGAGCAATAAAGTAAGAAAAATAAATAAAAATCATAAAACTCCTCCCAAAATAACACAGGATATTGCCAAACCTCTTGGTTATCTCCCAGAACTAGTAGATAAAACCCTGCTGGTGAGGCAAGGACATATTGGGGTACACGACTTGAAACAAGAGAGTGGGAACTGACCTGAAAGCCGTCAAACAGTAGTTTGCTGTCATAACACTAGATGATGATATGCAAACTGCCAAGGGAGAATAACAATCAATGGTCCATCTCAGCCCTGAAGCCTAATAACCAAGACGATCGGCATGGCAAACTAACTCTATTGGTGCAGTAGTGGAACTGTTATTTGAGGGGCAATCAACAGTTATCTAATTGGATTTAAAGCCCTCTTGATAGGAAGAAACTCATGGGTGGCACTGTAAACTCAGCCATATACATGTGGAAAGAGAGGACATAGATCCTGGAGAAAACCTTATCTCTTTCAAGACAAAAGAAACTCCTTACTATATGCTACATATCAATCCTTATATTTACAGAGAAGCATGCCATACAGCACTCATCAGAGAAGCTTCTTTTTGCAACTGATGGAGACTTCTGCAGAGTTCCACATCTGGTCAGGCACAGAGAACACACATCTGAGAGATGCCCAGTACCAAGTGACACATCTGCAGTTGAATCTCTATAACTAAAGTTCAGAGAGCATAGCGTAATAAGGGGTAAAGAGAGGGCTAATGCATCCCTCAACTCTTACCAGTGAGGCTTCCTTGTACTGCAGAGGGCGATGCACACAGAAGGGCCTGACTGGCCAAGTTTTGGAGAATAAGAGGCTATAGAGTGTAGGATGGGACTCCTGTGTGGAACCTCACCCACCTTCCTTCAATGGCTCAGGGACCATTGAGGAAGAGGAAGTAGAAAGATTGTAAGAGCCAGGGCTGGTTCATGAACACAGGGAGGTGGAGGCTTCCAGGCCACTAGAGGCTTGCTCATGTGAGATCCAAGAAGCTCCATTACAATAAAGTATTTCATATCCAAATCGTTCATTATTAGTATCAAACAGAATAATTTTTAAATCCAAAGAATACAATATTGGGTACAGCCAAACACAGCAACAAAGGACACCAACAGATTCTTTATCAGAGACAATACAAGCAAAAACACAGGGAAGGGAAGCAACATAGTTAAAGCCCTGGAAGAAAAACCTAGACTCTAGAATTATTATTATTATTATTATTATTATTATTATTACTACTATTATTTTGGTCTTTTTGAGACAGGGTCTCCCTGTAGCCCCAGCTGGCCTGTAGCCCCAGCTGGTCTAGAACTCACTATGTAGACCAGGCTGGCCTCGAACTCACAGAAATCCTCCTGTCTCTGCTTCCCAAGTGCTGGACTAAAGGCGTGCACCACCACACCCAGCTTAGACTCTAGAATTCTAAATGCTATGAAAACACCTTTCAAAAATGAAAAAGGTTGGGCTGAAAGATGACTCAGCAGTTGAGAGCTTGCTATTCTTTCAGAAGACTAGAGTTTAATTCCCAGCACCAACTTTGGGTGGCTTACAACAGCTCCAGGGGAATCCAGTGCCCTCTTCTGGTCTCTGTGGGTAACCCCCCTTCCCCAACACACATATGCAAAGAAAATAAATCTTTAAAAATAAATAGATAGGGCCAAGCATGGTGGTGCACACCTTTAGTCCCAGAACTCGGGAGGCAGAGGCAGGCAGATCTCTGAGTCTGAGCCCAGCTTTGTCTACATAGGGAGTTTCAGGCCAGCTGGGGCTACAGGGAGACCCTGTCTCAAAAATACTGAAAAAAAAAGGAGATAAATAAATAAATAATAAAAAGATAGTTGTCTGTTTGAACAACAATGACAGTATATTGTGGCATTTATGACATGTGGACCAAAAGCCAGCAGGAAAGACATACTGTCCATGAGGTAGCATAGCATTACCAGAAACTAGTACTGGTATTCATCTACTATTTCTAGGCTCCAAATCACCCCTGCTTGCCTGCTCTGCAGGAAGGGGCCTTTGGGGCACTTCTTCATAGAATGAGCATGATAGTAAACCTTCCAGGAAGGGGCACCAAAGAGACCCTGGAAGAGAAAGGGTTCTCTTCTGGTTCCAGATCTGGTTTTTCCCTTAGCTCTTGCTCCGCACTACAGAGGCTAGGAATCTCAGCAGCCTCCTCTGCTACCTGGAGAGCTGAACTACATGTTCCAAAGGTCTTGAGTCTCATCTCTAGGGAGGGAACCTCCTTAGGTGCTCTTCCTATACCCCTGAGTAACTTTCTGAGTTCCCTTATCATCTTTATAGTTACTCCAATGTTACAGTTAATGCTTAATACTAAAGTTAATCAAATGCAAATGGAAA